TCACCAACATTCCATCCGTGTCAGCCGTGGTCCTACACACCTGGGAGCCACACCCTGAACAGCTTAATGTCTTCTCCCGACTCGGAACCTGAGGCTGTGTCTTCTACACCAGCTATCGATCCACCCACCCCGGCGTCATCTGAGCCCACCTTGTCAGCTGTCTCTCGGCACCTGGCTCTTCTGTGAGAAACTCATTAGCATCCCGAAGGCAAGGACTACCAACTGCATACGACGCTTGGATTTCCCCCGTTAACCCTTCACACTTTTTCGCTGCAAATCCTGTAAGTTACTGACTAAATAGAGAAAAAAACAAACCTGGGCCCTAAACCAATTTTCTAGGTATTCTTGCACTCAACGACTTGGCAGTCACAGCACACGTTCGTCCCGGCCTATCCGCCGTGGTGCGGTTCTCCTCTTGGAGCTGCTCGTTGGCACCTCGTTCGCCACCAACATGCCATTGGCGAACGTGGAAATGCGGTTCTCCATTTGTCCTTTCGTCCTGCTTCGCAGATGGAGATCGATGGTTGGGCAACCAAAAACTAAATCCTAATAATCATCCCGACAAAAAGTATTCTGTTCGAAGGGAGTATGGATTGACTTCTTTTGGGTCTTTCTGTTCCATGGAACACCCGGAGACACATCTCCGGGCCCATCGCCACCCGGACCCGTGGACCGACCTCGCTGGGGGCACCGGACGTTCCGCCGTGCTGAGCGCCTTCTTGAGGGTATCGACTTGCACCTGGAAGCCGCAGAGGTGGCCACTGGCCGTGGAGAGGAGGACATGAGTGAGGGGTCTTTTTGGTCAATCGTCGCTGTCCTCGGCCTGCGAGTGTACATTCCTTTGTTTCATATCAAGCACGGCCCAGCCTCTAGGGATTCAATGGTCATCTCCAGCTGACTGCGAGCTCGTTCGAACCTCAACAAGTGAGCGCGTGTCTCCATTTTCCAGTGGGGAAGCATCAGTTTGCCGATCATGTAGGGATACTCCAACCCCTATAGCAAATCTTAAGGAGAAGAAAACGTCCCCATTCTTCTGCGCTGTGGGATTTGGGCTCAATGGTGACTCGAACAAAGAAGAAAAAGAATCCAGCAGTTCCAGTCCGGAATGGTTTTTGGTCCCCGAAAACGTGAGTGGATGTGACAGGAAAGGGCACCCCTATATGTATCCCCCATGGAAAACACAGACTCTTCGCCTCCAACGACCCCTTGACCATGGGGCGTGAGTGAACACTACTCACAGCTGGGGCGTTCATGGCGATGTCGTCGCCCCCAAACCCCAGCGTTTCGCTGGTTCAAATGGGGTGAAACCGTTTTTGACCCACCGCCATATGCAGTGAAACACTTCGGTTCCTCCCACTGGTCCGCATGGCACTCTCACCACGGAGTCCGGACCGGTCACCTGTCTTTCATGGCGGAGTCCGTGCGTGCAAGAATGACGCATGACGCGTGGATCCATCCTAAATGTGCAGACCATGACTTGGGGAGCTTTGACTCAGTCATCGACGAAAGTGTGTAGACATGATTCTGGGACCTTTGAATAATCAATATTGTACATGGTGATGGCTTGAGAGTTGTTTGCCGGGCCTCTGAAAAGGAGCTGTTGAAACAAATATGCAAGTGGAGAGGGTCTTTGGATATGCTCCTGTGGGGATCAAAAAACAATCTTGTGGACATTTGTTAAGCGATTTCCCTACAATCCACAATGATTCCAGGTTGTGCGTATGTGTGTATGTGTTTATGTTCCAGCAAGGCCCGTCAGAAACTGGACAACTCCCACACCACACATCTGGGTCTGCTGCTGCGTCCTGCTTTCTTCGTCCCCTTCCAATTCTTTCCGCAGAGCATCTGGCGGAAAGAGGGGTCGAGCTGGCATTTCTTTGTGGAACTAAGATGGTTCTCCATGTCAACTCAGCCACATTGGCAAATTCCTTCTGCAAAATCGCCCATGTAGTTTTAGTTAAGATATATTAAGAATATATATATATATAATATATATAATATATACCTGGACTGGACCCTGAAACGATGTTTCTTTTTCCATCTCGCCAGAAAACATGACGCAGAAAAATGCCGGTTCCCAACAACAATGCGGGTGCCCTTTTGGTTGTCCTTGCACGGCCCACCTTAGCGAAGGGAACGAAGCCCCAAAACACGGCTTGGAGTGGGAAAAACATCAAGGGAACTATGTTCAGCATCAACGACCGCTGCGTTGAAGCCAGATATCACACATAGATGTTGATAGAGACCGCTTTGGATGCTTGTGCTTCCCTGTTTCGAGACCTCACATACCACACGTCGACGGCCCACGGGACGGTGTGTGCCGAGGACTCTCGGACCGAGCTGCAGCGTGCACGACCTGTGGAAGCAACATAGGAAGATCATCCTGAATATGTATAGATCTATCTATGGTGAGAATATCTATACATATCTCACTGTATGGCGTGGCACTTGTTCATCCAGCGCCATCTCAGGTGCTTCCTCTCCCGCGCCTATTTCCGATCGGATGAGCTCCACCTGGAAAACTCGGTGGAAAGGGAGGGATGGAAAACGTGGGTTTTGGGTGGTGGAAAAACGGGTGACACCTGGAAACCCAAGCTTCAAACAACCAAACCAAGCACATCTCAGATGGATCTAGAGATCCACAGCCACTTGCCTCCTCCTGCAGGGTCGAGTTCTCAGCCTTCAGTTGCTGTTCTCGGGTCTCCTGCGTAGGAGACTCAGTGGTAAAGTGATGCAGAATCACCTGGAGATCATACCCCCCCTCAAAAAAAGAGAGAATAGCAAGGGGTTGAACTGCGGAACTGCGGAACTTTGCTTCCCCTTTTTTCCAGGATGTAGAATTAGGAACTCATCCTTCAGCGACCCTCTGGGTGGCGGGATTCAAGTGAACATGTCTGTGATGGCTGCCGGGGGAATAACTTTCAGATCTGTCACGCAATTCTGAGGGTCATTCTCAGATTCCTTGCGGTTCCTGGTTTCAACACACTGGCCAGCCGTCCATCCTTCGTGGCATTCCTTGTCCTGAGGCCACGGGCCACACTGCCTGTCTGCCTGTCTGCCTGTCTGGCTTCTTTCTCCAGCTGTCCCATCACATCACCCCCATCCCCGTTTCGCTCCTGTTTGTGGATTCGGTTCATGTATTCCAAGTTCTTTTGCTCCACCACTTGTAGAGCTTGCCCAAGGGCTTCAATGTCGACCTGCGTGGGTCCGGTGTCTCAATCCTCGCACCGACGGATGCAGCAGCACGGCGGCACGGATGAGAGACGCGGGGCGAGAGACGCAGGGCGACCATGAAAAGAGGGGATGAGGACGATATCGACCCGGAAACGCCACTGGCAACCAGAAACAAATTGCTTGTGTCCAAGATCCTTGAAATACATGACCAAGTGCTTGGGGCTGGGGAAACATCCTTGCTTGTTTCTGCTTAACGTGGTTGAGCTAATAGTCTTGCATTGGATCACAAAAGAACGCAAAAACCCGCTCTTCTGCTCCGCCGATTCTTTCCGCTCCTCTGCTTCTGCTCATCTTCCGCACTCGAAACATCACGTCGGCCCGTCAGGGCATCTCAGGCGGCGCTCGCGGCACCGTCGCTCAGCGCTTCGCTCACTGGCGTCGTCCAAGGCGTTGAAGGCATATGACCCTCGAACGAGGCGAGGCGAACGGGAAGAATCCAAAGGGAATATATGCGAACGGTCCAGAGCGTGTTTTTGGAGAATCCAACGGGAAGAATCCATCGTCTCACTCCAAAAACACGCTCTGGCAGACGATGTCGTGGACCATCCTAGACATTCTGGAAAAGATCAAGTCGCGAAAGCGAGTTCCTTTCCCGGTCAAAGAGAAGAAAACCTCTTTGGGTCCCGCATGATAGCTCTGAAACCAGTCTTGATCTTTATTGGTTCCTCTTGTCTTGTTTCTTACAAAGAAACGTGAACATGGACTCCAAAACGATCCAAAACTCAACCAATTTCGCCCCCTTGATCGAACCAGTGACCACATGCTGCCACGCCTCTCTCACCGCAGGTCAGACGGGACCGCACCCATGCTTCGCAGAGTCACCTCTCCTGTGAGACTGCAGCATGGCAGCATGGTGTGGTCGTTTCCTGTTCGGAGTAGATTGAGTATATGTTCTACAAATTGAACAACAAAAAACGAATAACGTAAGAGATAACAAATTGATACAAATATCTAAATATTATGTACATGTTGTTGTTTGCGTCCACGGTAGATGGTACAAACCTCAAGTTTGTTGCAGCTGAAGTTGTGTTTCTCCGAAACGCAGGTCCAGGTCATCGATGGATTCAAGCCATCGACGGATCTTGACTACCCCGACGCGACCCTGGACCTTCCTAAGTAGGGGCCGCACCCGAATCCTCTGGAGGAGTCCGGACTCTCAAATCCCTATGGGTTTGAGGGATCAGTCGGCCTGTTTGGAGCGTCTGGGTAAGTGTGATCAGTCCGCTGGAACAACAAATCGACTCTTAGTCGACGTACATTACCAGAGAGCCTGTATCATATGCACATCCAACAGAATCTATCATATATCATAATAATATATATATATATATATCAACGTGGACTTCACATGAATAGCAAAGAAAAGAAGGAAACAGATTCTTCTTGGACCCAACCGAAACGCATTGCAATTGCTCAGTGCATGCTATACGCTGCACTCTTGGCCTTTTATTGCTGTATTCTCTTTCTGCAAATTACATCACTCGTGTCCTTAGGGGAATAATAGAGGGTCAGTGCCTCCTGCCATATACCGAACTTGGTCATTCACAATCGAGGTCTCCCTCTACGAATCAACCTTGCCAAGCGCGTAAAAAGCAATGGATTTTTGCTGAAACTCTGTTGTTGAGTGAGAAAACCAATCCCCTCAAAGAGAAAAGGTTTAAACATGTTAAAAAGTGATTCTCTGACCGGGTAGGACCCTGATCTTCTCCTTCTTCCTGCAGACCTCGCCACCCCGCCGTCCGAAACCGGCCTTCGATCTAGGTCGTCTAGGGTGGCAAGATGAGACGGACTCCGAATTCATCGTCCGGCCTGAAGAGGCAGTCCGTCTTCTGTGTGGTGTTTTTGTGTTTCTGCAAAGAGCTTTCAAAAAACAACTAATTAGACCTTTCTTTTGTCCCTTTTCTTCCTGTCTTCGTCTTAACATGCTTGGGACCCTAAACAGAAAGAAACGAACCCTGAAAGCAACACCTAGAAAATAAAGACAGCATCCATCGTCGATTCTTATACTGACTAGCACTCAAACTCCTTTGCTCCCAGCAATCCCCGAAAAAAGACTGCTTCATCATGTTCTCCACTCCTAAGAGAACATCCCATGATGACCTCTGAGTCCTGGCGCAAATCGTCTTCCTTTGATCACTCCCGGGGCACCCGGACAGGTACCGTGTGTCGCTTGCTCTTGAGTCAGAAGACAGGTCCAGTACAACTGGGTCTGGCAGGCAACGGGGGAGACTAATCTCCTGCTAGAAGGTGATAGAAGGTGGATGCTTTCAGCCAGTGATTGGGGAGTCTCTAATCTTTGAGCTGCCCTAAGTCTCTGCTTCAAGGCAGAAACTTTGCAGCCATAATATTTGGTCAGGCTCTGTTGCGCTCTCTGTTGCGCTGTGCGCTGTCGCCATCTACATGGTGCTGCGGTTTACAGTAAGCACAGCCTGCTGTGCAGAAGCTACTACTACTGCTACCCTACTACAGTAGGTCACAAACCCCACCAGTCATCGCTAATAGGTTGGAGGCTTGGAAGCCATCGTTAGTAGCTTGGAGGCCATCGCTAGTAGGTTCCGCTTGCTGGGTCACAAACCGCACCGGTTCATGCAGATGTGCCTTGCCCCCAACGGAATCGCGTCCTTCGTCCTTCGCGCCTGAAAGACGGCCCCGGACCGGCTCGAGCGGATCGAGCAAGCCATCTGGCGCAGTAGAATCTGGCCTGGTGCAGGGAAGAAAGGGAATCATGCGACTTTGGAACGCGAGAACCTTCCTTTAAAGAAGCCAGATCCTGTGACCAAGCTACGAGGTAGCCAAGACGACGACGTGACTCCCGATCCCTTCCCGACCTGTGGCCGTTCCAGTCTTCCAGTCAACATGGAAACATGCAGTAGTCATGGGTTCGACTCATGACCTGGACCTCTTCATCATACACAGAGTCGTGGCACAGATCGTCTTCAGGTTTGGTCTCGGCACCCGGACAGAAGTGTCTCGCTTGCAGCTCTTGAGTTGGAAGACAGGTCCGGTACGAATGGGTCTGGCAGGCATTGGAAGACCACTAGAAATGGGCATCTTGGAAGACCAAGTGGGGAAGAGCCGATGAAACCACCGACTAATTAAAAGGCAAAGTGGATGATTCTATCATATTCTATCTAGTATTTGCGGGGGTCTCTTTGTTTGAGGCTCACAGACACAGGTTCTTGCACTCCTTGCTGAACTGCAAGCCAGGACCCGAGGGTGGGGGTATGATTGTCAGAAGGACTCATCCTCACCCTTAAGGGTGTGCATTAAAAGAGGGAGCAGACCTCCCAGAGACTCCCTGGAAGAACGGACATCGACGACCAACGGCCACAGCCGGGAGGTGGACTGATGGACTGACGCCGCCTCGGTGTGTTTCCTCGTTGCCCGGGCGCGCGACGAAGTCCAAAACCGTCGTTTTGGGCTCACGAACGTCTTTCCCGAACGGGTGTTGTGTGGGTCACGACCGTTTCGGGTTGTGTGGGTCACTTGTTGCGGTGTCTTCTTGCAGTTGGTAGTTGCATGCTGAGCATCGAAGTATTTCTGTCTACCTTACGGGTAGCCATCGCTACGCATGCGAGAAAGGACAAATGCAAAACAAGAACAGTGGGTGGGGTTACCCCTATTAGAATTCGCACCCATCTGGAGAAACCAAAAACACACCAGTCACTGACCCAACCCCATGGTCGACCCTGTGAAGACTGCAGAGAAGCTTCCACAGGCACTCTTGCCATCTACGGAACTCGGACGAAAACGGCGTCCATGGGGCACACTGCGCTTACCTTCCGTGGCCCGAAAGCACTCGCCTCAACAGATCATGGGCACTCAACGAATAAGAACCAACGAATCTTGGAAGAGACCCACCATCGAAATGATAAAACCACCGGGTTGGTCTTCGGAAGCACTCGTCGTCCCGCCGTCAGGTCCCCAATGGTTTAGAGGTTCCATGTGGGTCTCGGAACCCAGGTGTACTGGGGTGTAAAAATGGACCCTCGTGACCTAAAGGCCTCACAACTCACCCACCAAATTCGATGAACAAACCGGACAACCGGAGTTGGCTCAGATAAAGAGGATATACGAATAGGAACAATTCAAACACTTACATACGTATAGTATTTGTTGCCTTTATCCAGCCGCTAGCTACAGTAACAACTCGAGTCGTGGCCTTCTCTGAACCCCCCCCTCTCAGCGCTTCAGCACCTGATAAACGGCCATATGGGCTGGGCCGGCTGGGCGAGCGTGCATATGGGCTGACGTCCCCATCGTCTGTGGCATCTGGCCTAACCAAACAAGGCGTAGCTACAGTGCTCGCCTGTCCTTTCTTCCAGCTGGGTGCTGGGAATTGCGCTTTGAAGCCAAGTCTAGATCGGCCTTCTCCTTACTTGCCACAACAAGCACCACTAGTCACTAGACTTATCCGCTCGACGCGGAAATCCCCCAAATGGTCAATGGTAGAATTTCCAGATAGGACCAGAAGGCACAAGGGTCTCTAGGAGGAGTTTCACCTTGCTAATTGCATGATTTCGATGTCTGTGTTGAAACACACCACAGTGTGGCAAACGAATGTCGCCGAAATACTCAACTCATGAAATTGACCAAAAAGAATGCCTTCCTCTGAAATAGATATCGCAACTATAGCAACCCACCAAAGACATCTTCAAAATGGTTTCCTCTATGTAGGCATGGGCTGTTGGCTCAGGACCTCAAAATCACTCACACTGGGGCGCCCAGGGCACCCAAACGGTCTGCTGCTTTCGTCGAAGCAGAATCGGCTGCGTGCCGCGCGTGCCGCTGGGCATCCAGTTGTGGAGGGGCCAGCCTGCCAATCAAGGACACTTCACGGTCTGGTGCTGGAGCCTATTCTGCCACAAGATAATTCTCCAGCAGAGCAGGTGGGCAGTTTTGTATTAAGTCTCCGTAGTGGAAACTGCATTCGATACTGTGAGGTCGGCTTCTCTCGACGCGCAGTCGATGGAAAATGATGCAAAATGGTCAGCCCCATAGTTTGAGAAACCCATTATCCTTGCCTCAGGGTCAACTCACATGCTTGTCGCCAAATGCCGTCAAGAGCCTTCCATCGGATTGGTATGTTTGTATGGTTGAAATGTTTTGTATGTCCATGTAGTTTCATGTATTTTGCAATCCCCACCCAAGACCATGTCCCCTCAATGGTTCATACTTTTAATACTCTTGAAACTTGGTATTTAGCCACACTCCGTTGCCACACTCCCTTGAGTTTAGCCACACTCCCTTGCCTTTCAAGATCTATTTGTTGAAAGGCATCCTGCTGCTCCATTCTTCCTTCAACATGAATTAAAGAGCTCCGATTTCTGTCCTTGTGGTTCTCCTTCTCGGCCTCCTGTCTTCCTTTCAAACGCCCTCCATCGAATCTTTACTTCCCATCCCACTCTCACCAGCGTCATCCTTTTAAAGTGTTCCTGGCTTTAGAAAGCCTTCTGATCTTTGGCTGGAAAAGGGCCAAAAGAAATTCAGACTCACTTCCAGTCCTCTCCATCGTCTCCTCATGCACCATGCCCCCTGCCTCGGGGTCCACCAGTTGCGGTTCTCTCTTCGGCAGAGCAGAGAATTCCAGTGTGGCATTGGGGTCTTTGACTCGTCTTGCTAAGGTGGCCACCTGCTGTGTGCGCATGTGCACGCGAGTCTTCGAGAAAAAGGGCCCGGGGTAGAAGCGCATGATGGCCTCCAAGCTAGTAGCGATGGCCTCCAACCTAATAGCGATGGCATCCAACCTAAGGAGAAGATGTGATAGGAGCTTTGTGTCAAATGGATAAGATTGACACCCGAGTGTGAGAGTCATTTCTTCAACACCTGCGGGCCAGTAGGTTCCGTCTGTATCCATCTGCCTTCTGAAACCGTAGTGGAGCAAGAGCGTTGAGTGCATCCATCTATCAGTATTCCATCTGTATCTTCATTGGTAGTGTATCCAAAAAGGACTGATTGTCTTCCAGGCGACCAAGCGTCTCACTCCACTATGATAATTCGATGGAAGGACAGCCAAGGACTCTGGTTGCCCTCAAAATCCGGGACTCCGTTTCGTCCGTCTTCAGTGTCCAAGCTTCGCGAGGACCGTTGGTCACGACAACGGCCACCCACGGTTTGTTCTGTCTTCGTGAACGGTCGGATCCCGACCTGACCGTGACCGTGGTATTTCTCGTCTCCCAAAACCCCTCGTCTTCACCGTTGCTCGCAGAGGCGAGCTGAGCCGAGCCGCGATTGTGAGAGAGTGGTGGTGGGCTTCTTCACACAGCGGTCGAGATGGATCCAAGAAAGAACACTCAGCCCCTGAGGCCCTTCTGGTGTTCTTTCTGATCTACCTTGATCTCCGATATCCCCGTTCTTGCCCTCCGACCCGTCCCATGAACAACAAATGCTGCGGTGACAAGAGAGAGAGAGAGAGAGAGATAGAGATAGAGATAGAGAGAGAGAGAGAGTAGGGGGTCTTTGGGAGGTCTCGATATTTTACTACACAACCCCCCAAAGAATAAACCTTCTCCCATGTTCCCGGCCTTCGAATCAACCTCGCCATTGTACATATCACCGGACTGCTCCACCTGTGCCAGCGAAGCGAGACGTCTGGAGCGTGGTGGCAACTCGGTTGGCACCACCAAGCGAAGTCTTGCCGTGTGATGCTTTCTGGTTGATGGAATCTTGGTATCTCAGGAAATGCTCGCAAGTAGTCTCGCAAGTTTCATGTGTCAGTTGCATGTCCTTGTGCAGTGCAACTTCGAGCTTTGTCACTTGGTTAGTAGGGTCCAAGTACCAGTTGTGCAGACCACAGTGTCCAAAAAGCCACCAAATCCAGGCGTCCAAAACCCAGCGAGATCAATTCGACGCAAGATGCAGGATGATGGAAGGGGTGACGGATCAAACCATATGAGCAAAATGATGATGATTTGTATTATGATCCAAAATCATGATTGGAATATGATCATAACATCATGTTGTATTAATATGAATAAATGATCATATGATTTCTATGTGGATCAATCATATTGTTTATTGTTTTGCATTAGTTACACAAGGGACTTTGCAAAAAAGAACTGCCACTGGTAAATGAGATAATACCTTGCTCTTTTTGATTATATATAATGCTGTTTGTTGTTTGTTTTAGTTGATACACACACCTGCGTAGCGCTAAAAGTGGCCTCTCATCCTGAGAGAAGAGACCCAAACCAGGGGTGCTCCCATGTCGCTGCCTCAGCCAGTTGCTTCCGCCTAATCGCGACGTGCTCCACTGTGTCGTCCAGATGCTCGACTTGTGACATGAGCTCATGAACTTTTGCGATGGTTGCCGCTTGCTTGTCACTCACGCCATCAGCTTTCGTCAGGAGCTCCTCAGAACCACAGGTTTCTTCTTCGCCTGCAAAAAGTAAATAAATAACTGAAATAAACAACAATGGATCCGTTGTTTTCTAGTTGGAGCACGTCACCAGCGTGTGGGCGCTATGTTTTTTGTGTATGAGAAAAGGGCTTTGTCACTGCCTAGAAACACTTGCGTCATCTCTTGCGTCCATCTATAGCGACCTATTTAGACCTATGTTGGGCCAAAACGAGTTCATCCAGGACATGGGAAAGTATATGTCCAGTTGAAGGACTTTGGGATGTGCTTCTCCTATGAATATGGCTCAAGGTAGAGCGCAAACCCAAAAGGTGCAGGTCCGTCCCATTCTTGGGAGCGACACCGGGAACCGGAACAAGCTCCTTGATGATGTGCCTGACTTCGAGCACTGAAGACCCAGGGTCCGACTCCGAGAAAATGTCCTTTGGGTGAAGAAACACCCCGTGCTTGGCCGCGCAGGTGAAATACCTGTGCTCCTGGTGCAGCTTTGTTCCGGATGTTTTTCGGATGCTTTCTTTTCACAGGTCTGGCGGTCTGGATGGAATTGCGCGCAACCAAACAGAACAAGATGTCCTGAACTCCTTCGGCTTGGGATCAAACTTTGTTGAGTATCACTGAGCTGAACTTGAACATGTATGAACATGTGCGTGTATGTATGTGTATATGATGCTAGCCCCCCGTCCCAGGACCTACCATTGCAATGTGCAGCACTCTTTTGAATGTAGTGTGTGATGACCTGACATGTGTAGGCTGTGGAACAAACGAATCGAGGAAGGGTAGAAACAACTAGACTAAACAAAGGAACAACAATTTCAAGATTGTTGGGTGGCAATAAGTTTCGAAATGCATTTCCAGGATAGGGTTTAGAGCAATCGACAACAGGGGAGCAGCTGAATGAGCCTGAAACAAATCAGTTTAGTATGGGGAACGCTGAGGAACCAAAAGAGCAGCCAAGTAATACTCGATGAAACTAATGAAGACATATCAAACAAACAAACAAACAAACAAACAAACCGTCAATGCAAACACACCTTCAAGGAACACTGACAGGCCTAAAAACGTCAAAGGTGTTCAATGCCTGACCTTCATAACACCTCGACAGGCCCAAAAGAATAGAATTCTCACAATCTATGGGGAGTTTTTATGAGCTGTATTGCTTTGATTACTGGAAGTCTGTCCCTTCATCTGCATTGACAAACTTTTAAAAATGCATGACTCTCACAAAACCTCTACAGGCTGAAAAGCAACAAAACGTTCACAATGTGTATTGAAAGTGTTTGACATTTTGAGTGTGGCAACCTCTCAGTTTTCTTTGAAGGTCAGATATATATATATATATATATTTTGTTTTGCATTGAGAATGTCTATTGATGGTTCCATTTACATTGGTCACAAATGCCAGTTCATGTGTTCAGTCCATGTTGAGAGCTCAAACTTCGGCACCCTTTCCCCTGGACCAAGAATATGGCACCCCAAAATGTACAGAAAACAACGGTAAATGAATGTAAATGCCATTGGCTTTGATGCAAAGGTCCGCAGGGGGGTACTGCCAGTGCATCTTGAACGATTGAAATGCAATTAGAAGTGTCAGCCTTCATGTCCTAAAATGCGTGGGGGGCCGGTTATCACACCGCTTCTTCGCGGCGGTCTTCGCCGCCCGCCACGGATACGCCAGTGCTCAGAAGAGCCGGGCAAGATCGATGGAGGGCTCTTTTAGGGTCAGAAGAAGGAGCTATACCACGTGGACAGCAACTTGGTGATTGATGCGTCCCCCGACGCAACGTGTCTTAGATCTCGACGACTCGCTGGTACCTATCTTAAGGGTGTTGTACTCTTGTTCAGCATCAATAGTGAAATCTGCAGGTACAAACGCGCACACAAATTCAATGATTCAATGTCATTCAGGCAGCATAACTCACATTATCAATACTTTTGGCGTTTCTCTTTCGGGAATGCCACAGTGGCAAGCACACACTATGTCAATAATGCATTATCATTTGCGCAGCATAGCCGACATCGCCAATGATACACTCGTTTTTCATTGCTTGAAAAAAATGCATTCTTGAGCAAAAATAGGCCTCCTCCCAAGCTAAAGCTTAAGAGCTATCTAGCGGCTTATGCGAACTGAAAGCACCCTCGGTGCGGGCGGACTTGATTGTTTGGCTGCATGCGAAAATGGAATCCCAACACCTCGTTTAATTGCAAAAGTCTCTCTGAAGTTTGATATGCTTGATGCGATCTCTCACAGGTACACAACCAGTATCCACCAGTCCTTCACGGAGCCATCATTCTTCCCCACAGGTTCATCCAGCTCAACGCCAATCCGATGTCCTCCAGAATGCGTTGTTCCTCAGCTTGCAAAAGTGGAAATGCTCCCAACCCTTAGTGTCTTCAAATGAGGTGAAATTTCTATCCCCGCTAAACAAATCCACTTGGGGATTGTGGGTCTTTTTGAGCCAATGGCAACTCATAGTATGGCACTAGCCTTTCGCAAAAACAAGCCGGACAAGCGTCCATTGAACCTCACCGTGCCACAGCACATCCCGGTTTTCATCTTCACCTGCACTCGTTCGCCCACCCAATGGTCAGCCTCTTCCGACCGCTTCGGGGCAGACAGCACGACCGGCGCCTCGGGGTTTCGAAGGAGTTCTTCGTTTGTTGGAGCAAAGAACGAAGAAGCGGGCATGAAAAAGAAATGAGTCTGGTTCAAAACCTTGTAAATCTGATCAACAAAAAGTCAGATGCTGCTTGGATGTACATCATCTGAAAAGAACATGACATGGTCATGTCAAGTCCGTGAGCCAAAGCTACACCTGAAGCAACTCCAGAGACTCCCTTCGACGCAGGCAAAACCCCCCCCGCTTCGGGTCAGCCTCCGCTTGGCGCTGGTGCTTCACGTCTGCGTCCGCTGCCAAGCGCTCCACTTGGTCCAAGCGCGCCACTTCAGACTTGAGCATCTGATGCTGGACGCACAAGTCTTTCATGTGTCCCAAGATCTCCTGAGGCACAAAGTACGTTAAAATGGTGCCAAAATAAGGGTATGGGATAATTCGTATGTAAAAGGTGCCTTGGACTCGAACATCCAGGGAAGGTTTCTCGATGTTCAAGCCGAGCAAACAACCTGTGGCTGCTGTCTTTCCCAAGATCCATGTGCCTCAATAGAGTCCCCAACACCTGGAGCCTCTATCATTCAAAAACCGTGCCAGACGCGAGTTCGAGTTCGCAGGGCCGGCTGGAAGCAAGCGGCACAGGGACGGCTCAAAACATCGGGAGACACAGCACAGGCGCAGGTGAAGAAAGGAGACTTCTGACCATCGGCCGATGTCTCCACCACACGTGAAGAAAGGAGACATCTGACCATCCCAGAAGGCATTCCAACCTTGCGATGCACAAAGCAACCTGGAAAAGATTATATCTCCCATGCATGACGCATGGGTAACTGGAATGCCCAGAGTCTGGACCTTTGTCAAGTACTGGAAGAATGACATGTTCCTGCAAGAGACCTGTCTCGACATGTCTCTTCATGTCATCTTCCTACGGATCCCCAGACGGCTCCTTGATGTTCTCCTTGATTTCCGCCAGTCCTCCAGTCTGCTGATTTGCACTTTCGGCAGGTGAGCTCGTCGGCGTGATGCTTGGCCGGCAGAAGAGACCGTGCCGGGCCGGACAGCTGAAGTAGGGGACGCCCTGCTGCGACGGCAGAAATCGGAGGTGTTCGAAACGGTCTGATGGTCGGCAACACAACAGGTGAAACCTCTCTGACTTGGATTCCTCCTACATCCAGTGAACCATGATCCGGAGATATAGTTCACCCCTTTCTGCCCTTAAATCCTTTTTATTTGCGGACTGTGGCATCAAAGGAACTGGCAGTTGCATCGCTCCTGGACAGAGCCATCATTCTTCCCCACAGGTTCATCCAGCTCAAGGCCAATCCAATGTCCTTTTGCAAACTGCGTTTTTCCTCAGCTTCCCTGCCAAGGAACACAATAACACAACACAGCACAACCAAACACCTTCAGTTATCCGTAGTGGAAACTAGTGTAAATCAATGAACACTTATCTTTTGCTGGTGACAAAAGTGCTGTTCCATCCCAAGCATCCACTGAACCTCACTGTGCCAAGGTATGCCTTACCATCTACGACGGTCTGCACTTGCTTGCCAATCTCCACTTCCGACCACTCGGAAATCTGCAAGGTCTTCTGAGCCATGGCGCACACCGGACCAGACCCGCAGCGGGGGCCGGGGGTGAAACTTGGTTTCGTGCAATTGGAAAACTGTGCCAACCGGCGGGATTCTTGGACCTTAGAGCCTTAGAGGATTCCAGATCCAAGTGTTGCTATGGGACCCAAGCTGCACGTGCTGTTCACCTGTGAGCTGCACGGTGCTTTTCACCCAAAAAGAAACGCAGAGAAACGGTTTTCCTGCTGTCTTGTTCAAATTTGAGCTCTCAATGCCAGCAAACACGTGCCAGCCAAGTCTACATACTCCAGGATAACTACAAAAAAGTGTGTTTAAATGTGTTTACAATGCATTGCATTGCTAAGTACCCGGCGCTACAGTAACCAAAAAAGGCTGCTGATGTTATTTTAGGTAAAATTGAACCCTCTGAGGTCCTGCCTCCTAAGAGCAGATCACACACCAACTAAAAAATAAAGCGCAAAACCCCCTGCACTCTTTCTGCACGTCTTTCTCACGGTTCTTTCTGCTCTGATGCTCTGCTCCTGTCGCCTCGGCCTTCCTCGTCGCCGCAGTCGTCACCCGTCGCAGTCCGTCAACGTCGGTGGGACGAAGGACCAAGGAGTCCGTCGCGTCCGTCGCCGTGATGAAGGACTGTCCCAAGGAGGCAGAGCCACCGAGGCGCATTCCCCTGGCAGCTTCGAACTGGGCTGGGCTGAACGGCGCACAGCCAGCGAACGGAGTAAGCCACGGAGCTGAGTGAAAGAAACACCAGAGACACCGGAGCTGGAAGAAGTCGCTACTAGTAGAGGTGGGTACCAGATCTTCCAAGTCCCTCTGAAGTTGGCTTGATTTTTCCCACCAAGCAACGTTTCCTATGTATTCTTATGTTTCTTCTCATTCTAGGTTTCAGGGTCTCCTAGCCTGTTCAGATGTTACTGTAATGTAGTGGCATGGCTCGGCAAAGACATGAAATCTTCAGTACCTGATCAACAGCTGCTTCTACCATGCCTTCCTTTCAGCTGTTTCAGCTGGACAAGAACCCACACGCCACACGATCGGATAAACCACACGCCACACGACGGAAAAATCATGAGTCCGTGAACATCCGTCAACCAGCGGTCGAGAGACCCACCCAAGCGCCGGCCAAGCAACCGCCTCTTCACCACAGCCCCGTTTCCTTGTCTCCTGTGGAACTACAACCGGTCGAAGCGTAGCGTATCGGAAGTAGATGGCCCATCTACTTGGACCAGTCGAGTTTTGTCAGGGTCTCAAGGACCAAATGGTTGAAGAGGATTTGGGACTCTGACGAGACGCAAGCTTCTTTCAGCTAACCTTTCTTCCAGACCTGGTATGTGGCAGGCTGTGCAGTGTCAACCTTGGGGAGATCAGGCAGCTGCAGTAACAAATGGAGCTACAATGGATAATGGGCACCCCGATCCTCCATTAAGCACCCACTGCTTGAATACAACGCAGCAACAAGGATTTCAAGCTAATTACCAAAAAAAACAAGAGCAGCTTTACTAAAGCGTGTTTGTGCTGTGTTTTCACATTTGTTTACCCCGTTGTTTCGTTCAAAAAGGGTCATCGTTTGCTGTGGACCTGTCGCGCCCGCGTGTCCTCGTCCTCCACGGTCGAACGTCACGGAGGTCGAGAGAAACGGACCCCAGTCGTCTTCATCGGTCCGGCCGATGTGAGGACCTGGAAGACGCATCGCTGGCAGCGCGATCAACGTGTCTGCCGATGGTGATGGTGGTGTGTGTTTGCTTTATTTAACGATGCCCTTTTTTGTGTCTTTTCTTTAGACCTTAGACCTTTCTTCCTTTTTGATCCTTTTTGCAGCAATGCTTCTGTTCTTCTAGTTTCTTTGAGACCTTCTGACCTTGCTTCTCCTGTCTGTCCTTCGTGTCTTTTTTTCTGAAGATGCGTGGTGGATGGCTGCCACCATGGTGCTTTGGAAACGGCTCCCTTTGAAGAAGTCAAGTTTCATTGAAAAGTTATGTGGTCAGCTCAAGCAGGACTAGCCGGCTGGCCACACTTTGAATCATCCCCAAGGGAAGAAAAGATCCATATCAGGACAGCACGGTTCCGCTTCCCAGCAAAGGTCCCAAGAAGAAACGAGCCACGACATATAGCTTATTGTATCTTATTGTATTTAATGATTTACAGTAATCCCAGACTGACCAGTACTTAAGCTACATTGCTTGACCCAGCAATTGCAGCAAAGAAATTGCAAAAACATCGGTTCCCTCCTGAGAAAAATAACATCACACACAGAAGTGGTGCACTGCGACACATGTCTCCTGGGCGCCCG